TTTCTGCACAGTCTGGGGCAAATAGCTTGATTGTCGTCCAGATTGTGTCCGACAGCTCAACAGTGATGTCTGGCTTCAAAATTTGGTCTTTCGTTTTAATCAACTGAACAATACAGCTTTGGTTTGTACGAAAACGATTAGAAATCATGATTAGCCGTCTATTTATTTTTAACAGTGTACAAAACATTTGTTTGGTAAACATTTCAATGCAAGAGTGATGAATGTGCCGCAGCGCTCGGCCAAATGGTTACATCTGCGACTGGCACAGGAGAAATCAGTGGTTCATCATTTGGCTTCAGAGTTTATTCCTCTAGCACTGATTTCTGTCCAGCACTGGGTTTCTACCAGCCCACTAATTGTCAATTCTGTTTTGGTTCTCACATCATGGATCCCTTCTGAGCAGTTCTGCTCTCCTCCTTGTCCTTTTTCTTTCCCCTCGTTTTCCTCCTCCTCCGGCTCACCTCCGCTCTGCAGCTCTGTGTTCAACCGTCCCTCTTGCTTTTGATCATTGTCAGCTTTTTTACTTCAAACCCGTTTGTTATCTTTCAGTAAATACAAATAATTTCTCAAGTTCATGACAATGTTTCATTGCTACGGAAAACAATTTGGGCCTCAGAGTAAAAAAAAGTTAAATGTTTTTTTTTCCTGGGTTTTGACTATTTTTGCATAATTCTGACTTTAATCTCAGACTTCTAAACATTTTTCTCTTCCGAGAAAAAAAACTAAATTCTGAGGTTAAAAAGAGTCAAAATTCTGAGTTTAAAATCAAATTTTTGAGGAAAAAGGATTTTTAGCAAAAAAAAAGACAGAATTCTGACTTTTTTCTCAGAAATCTGATTTTAATCTTGGAATTCTAAATTTTTTTCAGAATTCGAAAAAAACATCAGAATTCAGTGAAAAACAAAGTCTGAAATCTGATTTTAATCTCAATTTTTTTCTCAGGATTCTGAGAATAAAATTAGAACTCTAAAATTAAAATAAGAATTCAGAGAAAAAGTCAAAATTTTTACTTCCTTTTCAGAACTAGTAAGAAGTCAAAATTCAGAGTTTATTAATCTCATTTCGTAAAAAGACAGAATTCTGACTTTTATCTCAGAATTCAGATTTTTTTTCTCAGAATTAGAATTAAAGTGATGAAAGTCAGAACTCAGGAAAAAAAAGTATATATATATATTTTGCTTTGTTGCTCTTTCAGTTCTGTATTTTTGTGCAGTTTCTCAGAAAATCGGAGTGTAAATGTAATATTTTGTTCCACATCTCTGGTGTATTTGTGGAAATTCACCCTTATTATAGTTTCATCTTGTACAACACATTTTCCCTCTTAGATGTACATGCTGCCGTCACCATTTATGTGATTCTGGTTTTTCTGTCTTCAGGGATGAAACAAAGAACAGGCATCCTTATTTGCTTCAGCGTCCTCTGCAGGCGCAGGTCCTGAATTAGCTCCGTTTAGGAATTGGTTGTGTTTGCAGTGTACAAACAATATTTCAGCTTCAAACACACTTATCAAAAAGACATCATCGGTGGGTGGATGTCTGTCTGCGTGTGTGTGTCGGTGTGTGTTGGTGCGTGCTTTTCTGCTATCTGCCCTTGCCCCCGGTGTAGGGATGTGCAGCAGGAAGGAGGAGGGAGGAGCTGCTGTTGGAGGATGTTTATCACATAGAACCAGGAGACACACAAACTCAGCTGGATACCTGCACTCGCAGGCACAGACACACATTTCAATGCTCTTACACACAGAAATGACCCCAAATGCACATAAATCAGTGCTGAAATGTAAAATAAATATATGCTTGCTGCAAAACAGGAACTCAAATCTTCATAAATAATAAAAGTGGAATTTTATTGGGAATAAAATCTTCTAAGTTTCGTTGTTTTTCGGATGTGGGAGAACTAGTTGCTTTCTTTCTGTTTATGTTGAGTACTTTTGGGTTTAAAAGGGTTAAAACTTGAATATTTTACAGAGGTTCTGTGGAAAAGTTTTAAACGAAACACGATGTTTTCACAGAACCTTGTTTCAAAAAAAAAACTGCTTAAACATTTGCCCAGGGAAAGCGATGGACATCTTTTTGAAACTCTGCTTAAAGGGAAAGATTTATGGAGGGTTAATTTAATTATCAGCTGCAGCCAAGTCAACATGTTGGCACAGGCTGTTCCTGTGCAGACTCACACTTGCCCTCCGTGCACAGCTGCTGTCCAGGTGTGAGTCTGAAGCCAATCCTCCGAAGAGTCCAAGAGATCTCTCTCCGCTGACACCCCAGTAGCCTTCACTGGTCCTCGTCTTACCTCCCCTCCACCTGCTCCTCTTCTCCTCTCACCTGCTTCCTTCTTGACTTCCCTCTCCTCTCCTCCATCCAGCGTTCAGTTTTCGAAGGTCTCGCCCAGCCGTGCCTGGTTCATGTTGTCTCCCCTCAGCCGTCCCCTCTATTCCTGCACTTTACTCTTCATCCTCTCTGAGTGATTGGCGGGTGTGTGTGTGTG